ATTGTTTTGTTCTTTGTACTTGTATCTTCAGAGGGTAGCACAGTGCTTGGTAAATCAGTGTTTGTTGTTTGGTTATTTGATTAAAATGCCTCTTCTGATCATAGTTTTTGACTTGCTTGGGGAAATCAAGGGAAAGAGAAGTTATGATCTTGAGGATGGCTTTTTTGCAGAAGGATGACTATTTTAATAATTGTATCTTGGTAGTGGCTACCTACTGTTTCCTTGGGAGGAAACTTTAACTTAAAATACCTGCTGCATCCCCAGGAGCTGTCTCTTATTGTGGGGCTCTCAACTTCCCTGAGAAGACTCTTTTTAGATCAAGAGCTTGTCTGACCTCAAGGTAGCAGGTCTCTTTGGCAGTACTTTAAGGAACTAACAGGAGTGGGAGGAAAAGATATCACCTTTGTTGGGGGGAGTACTGGGCTTCTTCCTTCCTTATGTTACCATTTGGTATTGTCCTTTCATCATTGAAAAGTTACAGTTTTTTATGTTGTGTTCCCAAACACATTCAAATTTTGATTTTTTTCATGTTCTTGATCCACTTGCATCCATTCCCATGGGCTTTCCTTGTGGGGAGACTACTACGGCCCCAGAACTGTGCCATCCAGATATAATACACCTGACAGTGACTCCAGAATGATGGAATTGCTTTATGGGGAGGTAACTAGGATGTAGGAGATACTCAGTCTTGCCGGTAGCAACTTAATCCTTAAGTTTTCCAGGCTCTCTGAATTAGATTGCATCTGAACTCTTTGCCCATTTATACCTGAACACCATCATTCATTTGCAGTCACATACTTCTTATTGCTATTCTGCCTTCCATTCACTTTATGTTCCTTCTCAATCATAGTATCAACATTAATTTAACTTTTGGCACTTTCATTTTCTAGTCATTCATTCATTCACTCATTTCATTTATTTATTTATATTATTTATTTATTTATTTATTCATTCATTTATTTGCTTATTTATTTATTTACTTAGTTATTTATTCATCCATCCATCCATCCATTCATTCATTCATTCATTCATTTATTTTTAGGCAGTTGGGGTTAAGTGACTTGCCCAGGGTCACACAGCTAGTAAGTGTCAAGTGTTTGGTCTGAGGCCGAATTTGAACTCAGGTCTTCCTGACTTTAGGGCTGGTGCTCTATCCACTGCGCCTAGCTGCCACCTAGCTGCCCCTTTTGGCACTTTTAATGTGCAGTCTTTGTCCAGGTCAAATTTGTTGACACTTCTAGAAGAACTGAACCATATTCATTGGCATTCTTGCTTTAAATGAAACCCAGACATAAAGAAGTTGCAGCTGAATGGAAGAAGAGTTCCCAGGTTCTTCTAGGAAATGAACATAATGGAATTGGTTTCATTGTGTAGATAAAGCACTAAACTTGGCACCAGGAAGTCTGGAGTTCCTCCTTTATGACTGTGTGAACCTAGGCTAGTCACTTTTCCTCTCAGCCTCAGTTTCCTCATATGTAAAATGAGGATAACACTAGCATCTGCCCTATGGGATTTTTGTGAAGTTGAAAGGGGACAACATATATGAAATGCTTTGTTAGCCTTAAGTGCTGTAAAAATGTTATGTATTACTATTGTCACTACTACTGCTACTACTACAACACCACTCAAATACAACTAGAAAAAACAATGGGACAGTTGGTCATCTCACTGGATAGTACTCATAATGGGTCTTAAGCAAAAGACAAACTTTGTAGTATGCTAACTTGTATTGTAAAGGATAAAGAAGTAGAGAAAGTCTTTAAAGAAATCTGACAGGTCTTCAGATTAACCCAAGATGCACCTTGATACTTGATAACATCAAAGAAAAGATGAACTCTTAGAGGCTAGTAAAAACTGTTACAAAAAAACGGTTTGGGATCGTGATTTCAAAGTTTTATAGATTACTTAGAAACTTCATGCTGTATACAGCATGAGTACTTTTTTAAAGAAGAGAGTGGGAAAGAATTGACTGCAGCAATCATGAAACCACATGGTCAAAAATGAAATTGACTGCATCTTAATGGATAGGAAATGGCTGGTCATAGGTGCAGTAGCCATTTCAAAATCAGGTGTTTACAGGCAGTGGGATCATAGACTAGTTAGAGCAAAGGGTAAAGTAGATAATGAATTAGAAGAAAGGATAAAAGATGAGAAGACATTTCATTCAGTTACAATAGTTCGAATAAGCTATTGGTGCTGAATAGTAGGGTTTGGGTTAAGGACATTGACTTCATCACCGTTTCTTAACAGTAGTTTAGCCTATAGTAAATCAGTTGTCACAATGAAGTCAAGAGCCCAGAGACTGTTCCAGCCAGCCAGTACTGAATTCTCTGGTCAGGCCACTAGTATAGTGTACATGCTCATTTGTAAAACATTACAGAGTATGATAGGAAATAATTGAGCAGTATTGCTTCATACAACACCTGTGGAGGATAAGATCAGAATCACTACTAAACTACTAAATCATATAAGCCAAAAATATTTATAACGAAACCAGAAAGGAAAATGTCAAACATAGGTAAAATAAAACCTAAATTTAACTCTAACATAAAACCTGAATTAACCCTAGATTTACCAACATTTTTATAGCAATAATTGGCCACAATGTTATGAAGAAGAGGAAAAGCTTAGGATAAAGCTGGAATGAGCCCCTAGATCAGACCATATATACATAGAAATTGAGTCTGAGGGAGGCATAATTTTAAAAGCCTAGAGAGATTGATGAAAGAGAGGAAGAGATGAAATGATTAGAAAAAAATAATGTATAGTATTATTACCCAAAAGATTATTGAGCAGTAAATTACAAACCCAACTCATATGTCTACTTTCTTACCTTTATAAAACCTCTGAGAGTGTACTGATCTTGAAGATATGTCTACTTTAATTTGATTTCACTCTATTGAAACACTTTTTGGTTCCCTGTTGCCATATATAAATTCATAACTCTTGCCTTTTACACACTCTTAGTGTCTGGCTTCAGTCTACTTTTCTAGCTTTATCTACTCTCCTTTACAAGCTGTACATTCGTGACAAATTGTACTATTTTGTCAGTGGTTTGCATTCTGTTCTTTCCATTTTTGGGATATATTCTCATCTTTTCATCTGTTGAAGTCTCTCCCTTCCCTTAGGGCCCAAGACAGTTAGTTGTCAAATAGTCTTTAAACTTTCCCTGCCCTGGGTGAAAATTTTATGACTGCTTCATAGCACATTTCCTGTTCTTCTTTTCTGGTGTCATTACTTTCTGTACATGTCTTTCATACCATTATATCATAAGTGCCTTAAGAAGCACCATTTCTTGTAATCTCTGTATTTCAAACATCTAGGACAGTACCTTATATATTATAAATGGTTGTCTGAATCTGTGATTTTACAAGCAGAAGGAATTATTGGTATAGAAACTAATTTGCAATTTATGATCTCCAAAAGCTTCCTGAGAGCTCTGAGAAGCTCAGTGGTTACATAGCTAGATTCAGGACTTGAACCCAGGTCTTATCATTCAAAAGTTGGCACTTTTATCAACTATGGCATACTGCTTTTTCCTTGTATATAATAATAGATGTTTGTTATCAAGCCCCAATTGTAAATGCTTTCTTCTTCCTCAAGTTTTCTTAGAGTACTAGATCTTTCTTTTGCCCCTACCACATTTGACTTCTCAATGTATTTATTTGTTTACATTACATCCAATCTATTAGATTATGAACACCTTGGGACAGAGACTGTGTTATCTTCATCTTTGTGTCCCTAGTGCTTAGCACAATGTCTTGTACATAAAGGATACTTAATATTTTTGAACTGAATTTTTATTGAATTATAGGGTACCTTGGGGTTTAGGGACTGGGTTGGAAGGTTAGCCATCCTTCAGTCCTTAGTCTGCTTCTGTTCCTCTGTCCCAAGAATCCTAGATGAGGAGGGTAAGATTGGGGAAGTGGAGTCTAGAATCCATTTTCAGTGTGCCCTCTCGCTTTTTCTGTGCCATTATTCCTGGTTTGGTTCTCCTTCCCTGGTTCTCTTCCAAGTGTGGTGATCACCTTTTTTCCCTGCTCCCTCTTATATCCAAGATAGTTCCTAAAGCCTCATAGTCTGGAATTTTAGCTTTTTTAGTCCCCCTAGCACCCAGAGGTATGATCTGCTTTGGGACAGCAAGATCCTTCAGGTTGAGGTAGGTAGGATATACTTGAGGACTAAGAGAATTGTGAAACATAGATGAGATATAGGGAACCATATTGGTGGAGCATTGTAGGTAAGGTGGGCAGTAGCTGGTTTGTAAATGAACCATAGCTATTGGAGAATTAGATCAAGGCTACCTTTATGATTAACTTTGTTGTCAGTTTTTCTTTTTTTCTTTTTTTTTTGTTTTTTAAGCAATTGGGGTTAAGTGACTTGCCCAGGGTCACGCAGCTAGTAAGTGTCAAGTGTTTGGTCTGAGGCCGGATTTGAACTCGGGTCCTCCTGACTTCAGGGCCGGTGCTCTATCTACTGCGCCACCTAGCTGCCCCTACTGCGCCACCTAGCTGCCCCTCAGTTTTTCTTGATTAGAATAGTAAACCACATATATATATAGTCATAGAATTGTAAAGTTGAAAGAGACCTCTGAGGTCATCTATTTTAGCTCATGCCTGAGTTTGGAATCCCCTCGTTGCCTATGGATACTGATTGTTTGCATATAGCTTAAAAATAATAGATGGAATATAACTTTGTGATATGATTTTTTCAAATATATTTATTTTATTTATTAATATTTATGTATTTATTTATTCAAATATATTTATTCAAGAAAACAGTAATGAACTTAGAAAATTTAAATTCAGTTTGAAATTAAAATTAAAAAAAATTTCTTTCCTTATTCTCTGACTACAGAACACTTTGTAGGGTACATAGTCTTACTTTTGGCATTTGAGACTTTTGGTTTTTTACTCACTAAATTACTTTTCATTTGGCATTTAGAATACTATAAATTTAAAAAGTGATTTTAAATAAAATATTGTTTTTTATTTTATTAGCAAGCTAAAAAAGCTGAGTGAAGACAGTTTAACTAAGCAGCCTGAAGAAGTCTTTGATGTCTTAGAGAAGCTTGGTGAGGGGTAAGTACACACAACTGTAAAAATTATTTTCAGGAAAAGAACAAGATGAGTATTGAGAAATAGTCATCCAATATTAATATTTATACAGTTGTACATTGCTTGAATTGAAAATGTATTAAAGTTAAGATATTATGTTAACACCCATGCAAATAGAGGATGGGGAATGACTAACTAGGCAAAAGATGGGGGGAAAAGCCTATGGCAGGCATAGGGGTGAGGTTAAAATTTACCACAAGTTGAATATGAGTCAGCAATGTCCTGCTGTTGTGAAAAATGCCAGCCAAAATAATCCTTCCACTATACTTATAACATCCTTAATAAAGTTTTTATAAATATGCTTTAAATGGGATGTGGAGAAACTAAAGCAGGATATAAGAATAACGACAAGGATAATTAAAATGGAAAGTAGGTCTTCAGAATATAGTTTAAAGAAATTGGTATTGTTTTGTTTAAATCCAGGTAAGAGAAAGCTAAGATGTGGCTTTGATATATGAGGTTTTTTTGGTTGTTTTTTTTTTTAAACATAGGAATGCTGATCAGGTATTTTTCATGTCTTTAGAAAACAAAAGAAGTGGAAATTGACTTAAATTAAAATGACAAAAATTTTAATTAGACATAAGGAAGGAACAAATTGACTATTAGGGTAATAAAACCCTGCAATGACTCCTGAGAGGTTGAGCTATCTTGGATATCTTAAAGAATGAAAAATGAAAAAAAAAAAGAAAGAAAAAGTATTTTTTCAGTGCTTGCTATTTGCAAGGTATTGTGGTAGGTGATATGAAAAATATAAAGAGTATGAGATACCACCACAACTTCTTTTTCAAATCTTTTCATCCGTTTTCAAACCTCCCAAAATTCACTCTTCCTTCACCCTCTTAGCTGAGAACCTTCACTCATTTCACTGAAAGAAAAATTATTTGCTGAAAACTCATTCTTTTCTTCTGTTCTTCATTCCATGTCACCCACATACTTTCTGGTACCATCTTTTCCTTCACTCCTGTCTTACATGAAGAGGTGCCTTCTACTCGACAAGGCTAATGTCTGCATGTGCAAGTGATCCCATTCCATCTCACCTTCTGTAACAGATTGCTTCCTTTATCATACCTATTCTCTCATTTAACTTCATTCTTTCCCTGTTTACTGGCATGCCCATATTACCCTATCATCAAAAAATCTCTCCTTGACCCATCCATCCCCACTAACTGTCATCCTATATCTCTCCTCCTTTTTGTGGCTAAACTTGATCCACAATCTCTGCTGCCACTTCCTTCCCTCTTATTCTCTTTTAAAGTCTTGCCATCTAGCTTCTGACCTCATCGTTCAGTTGAAATTGCTCCTCCAAAGTTACCAGTGATTTATTAATTGCCAAATCTAATGGCCTTTTATCATTCTTCATTTTTCTTGATCTCTCTACTGCCTTTCACACTGTTGATCACCCTCTTCTCCTTGATACCTTCTTTTCTCTAGGTTTCTGAAACATTAATGGTAATAACAATAACTATTTGTAGCACTTATTTAGTGCTTTTAAGTTTTACAAATTGATTTACATAAGTTAACTTATTTGGTACATAAAAGGACACTGAAGCACATACAGGTTTTAGGTGATTTGCCTAGGGTCACACAGCTAGTAGGTGTTTGAGGCTGGATTCAAACTCAAGTCTTCATCCTACCCCCTCTCCTAACCTCTAGAATTACCTCTCCAGCTGAATGTTCCATATACATTTTAAGCTGAGCATGTCCAAAACTGAACTCATTATCTTTTCCCCCAAACTCTTCACTCTTACGAACTTCCCTTTTGCAGGTGAGGGTACCACCATCTTTTCGGCCACCTAGGCTCACAATGTAGGTGTGATACTTACCCCACTCTTACCCCACTTTTCCATGTCCAATTTGTTGCTAAGTCATGTTGATTTTACCTTGATAACATCTCAAGTCTCTCCCTATTTCAGTCTGTCATCTACTTAACTGTCAAATTAATCTTTCTAGAAGTGTAGATCTGACCATGCCATCACCGTATTCAATAAACTCCTATTACTTCTAGGACTAAATACAAATTCCTCTATTTGACATTGAGAGTCCTTCACAACTTATATTATGTAGTTGGCTCCCTCCTGTCTTTCAGGTCTTTAAAATTTTTTTTTTTTGCCTTATTCACTCTCATGTACTTTTCAGTCAAGTGATACTGACCTTCTTGCTGTTCCTTACACAGCATGCTTGATCTCCTGACTATAGGCATTTTCACTGGCTATCCTCCGTATCTAGATTCTCTCCCCTCAAGTTGAATTTTAGGCTAAATCAAGTTTATTTGCTTCATTATTAGATAAAAGGGAACTGTTGAAAGGTTTTGAATAAAGGAATAAGATGATGAGGCCATTTTAAAAAGAAGACTAACCATCCTTGGAGAAACTACCTTGGTGTAATAGGAATATGTGAGTTGGCATTAGAAGACCTGGGTTCTCTATGACTCTCAGCATTTACTGGCAAGTCAGTTTTCTCATATGAAAATGGGGATAATAATATCTACACTATCACATAAGGTTGTAAGGAAAGTACAAGCATACCTTGGAGGTATTGTGGGTTCAGTTACAGACCTCCGCAATAAAGTGAATATTGCAATAAAACGAGTCACACAAATTTTCTGGTTTGCTAGTGCATATAAAAGTTATGTTTATATTACACTATAGTCTATTAAGTATGCAGTAGTATTATGTTTAAAAGGATTTACAAACCTTAATTAAAAATACTTTATTGCTAAAAAATGTTAACCATGACTTGAGGCTTTAGCAAGTCATAATCTTTTTGTTGGTGGAAGTCTTGCCTTGATGTTGATGGCTTCTGGCTGATCAGGGTGGTGGTTGCTGGAGATTGGAGTGGTTGTGGCAATTTCTTAAAATAAGATAACAATGAAGTTTGCCCCATCAATTATCTTTTCCTTTCACTTGAATACTTAGAGGCCATTATAGTGTTATCAGTTGGCCTAATTTCACTATTGTTGTGTCTCAGGGAATAGGGTGGCTCAAGGAGAGGGAGAGAAATAGGGAACAGCAGGTCAGTGGAGCAGTTAGAACACATACAGCATTTATCAGTTAAGTGTGATGTTTTACATGGGCATGGTTTGTGGCACTCCAAAATAATTATAACCATAACATCAAAGATCACTGATCACAGATTGCTGTAACAGATATAATAATAATAATGAAAAAGTCTAATATATTTCAAGAATTACCAAAATGTGACACAGAGACATGATGTATACACATGCTATTGGAAAAATGATGTGAGCAGACTTGCTTGACCCAGGTTTGCCACAAAGTTTCAATTCGTTAAAAATGAGGTACAATAAAGCGAAGTGCAATAAAATGAGGTGTGCTGTATTTTGAACTAAAGGGTTTTATAATATAAGTGGTTAACTACAACAGCAAGCATTATTAAGTCCCTGCCCTCAAGGAGTTTACATTCTAATATCATCAACTCATAAAAGGAAACTGAAAAGACATAGAAGTAGGCAAGGAAATTACCTGGCTCAGGGATATGATGGAGGAATCAGATGGAGGAAGAGATGACTAGCCTGGGCACTTTCCTTAAATGGAGGTTCTGGAGCCATTGAAACATAGGGAGTGGCTGAAGTTGCTTCTGAGTTGTGAATTCCAGGGCTGAAGTTATCTTCCAGGATGAAGAGTTTTCTGGGACATGATGGCAGAGTCCTGATTGTAGTGTGGAGAGAATGTTGTCATTACTAATCATCTGACAGTGACTTCCTATTATCTACAGAGTAAAACCCAAGCTCCTTTGCTGTGATTCAAGGCTTCTAGAGATTGATGTCATTCTACGTATTCAGTTTTGATATGCTTCATGGTTTGCCAAACTGGTCTTCTGTCAGCTCCCTAAACATAGCCTGTACATTCCTGACTCTTATCTTTGCTCATGCTATTACCTATTCCTGGAATGCCTTTCTTCCTCCTCTTTGTCTATTAGATTCCTGGTCATCCTTTTGTTTTTATGTCATCATTTCTGAATGTATCCTCTCTCTGTCTCCTCTCCAGCAAGCCATCATTTGTAACAAAGAATATATAAAAAGGATAAAAAATAGTTTATCAAAAACAAGTAAATATGTAGTATTCCATACCCATTGTCTTCCAAATCTACAAAGAGGAGAGAGGTGCATTTTCCTATCTTCTCAGTTTCATAGTGTTGCCCGAGTTTTCTTTGGGTCCTGACTAGCTACTGCCAATAAATAAGCCAGTACAGGATACAGACATAGGAACACTGCAGTTTATTCACTCAGAAGTATGACACACCATCAGTAGGTCCTAGATCCATGTGTCTGATAGCTCAGCAGGTGACATTTACACATTTTCTCCTCTGAGCTAAGTGAGGCAGAAAGAGTAACAAATGAGAAGACACACTGCTTGCTGCAGTTTGGTCAGAGCATTGGAAAAAATACTTATTACGACAAAAGAAGAATGTGGCCTTGTTAGCATAGCCATTTGCATTAGACCAAAGAAAATAGTGGGCAGCTAGGTGGTGCAGTGCATAGAGTTCTGGGCTTAGAGTCAGTAAGACCTGAATTCACATGTGACCTCTACACACTTACTAGCTATGTGAGCCTGGGCAAGTCACTTAACTTCTATTTGCCTTAATGTATTGGAGATGGAAATGGCAAACCACTCCAGTATCTTTGCCAAGAAAACCCTAAATGGGGTTGCAAATTGTTGAACATGACTGAACAAAAACAGAAAACTGTACCATCTTTAGCAGTCAGTCGATCAATAGGCATTTATTAAGCTTACTATGTGCTTTGTTATCTAAGATAAAGAGAATGGGACAACTTTCTTGAACTATCAGTTCTTTATTGAGGTAGAGATCTGCCTGCAATGTGGAGAATGTACTGTCCCAAGCTTTGGGGGTTTTGTGCAGCTGTTTTCAGAGATACTTCTAGGGACCTGTGAATTTTCAGTTCTTCCAAGATGGTATGATAAGGGGCAAGGTGTTTACTCCTT